TTTATAGTTTGAATTTGATTTGCTTGAAGTTTACAAAATTGGTTACTACCATTTGCCCTGCAATAAATCACACTGTCAGTTTTCAATTGCATTTTTAAATTAATCTGGTTATATGAAAGGTATTAAAATGTTCTTCACTTTTGTTGCAGTATTGAGAAAGTCATTTTTACTATAAAATAATGATTGTCACCTTTATATTAACTTATGTGTACTATATAATACATTGTATTAATGTATAGAAATAATGATCAGTTAATGTTCACTTTAACCTGCATTTCCGTATTGAGATTTGATGAAAAATAAATCCATATAAAGAGATTGTTACAAGAGTCTAAGTAAGTGACTGCTTTAAATTGGGGGATTGGACTACATTCATTCACAGAACATTTATTGAGGACATACTTTGTGATGCACTGCTATGGTTTCCACAATAATAGCAACAATGAAGAGAAACAAGCATGTAGTACCTACCAATTTACTATTCTCATGGGATTTCAATTCTATGTGTGAAAATAATAAAGAAAATAACATGGAAGTACATAAATCAAGGAAGAAGAATAAGTACTAAGGTTGATTTGATGATTTTTAAAAGAGTGGTGATGGGCTGGGGTTGTGGCTCAGTGGTAGAGCACTCGCCTCACACGTGCAAGACCTTGGGCTATAGACCCTGGGTATAGCTTACTTGGTAGAGTGCTTTCTTCACATGCACAAGGCCCTGCGTTCAATCCTCAGCACCACCAAAAAAAAAAAAAAAAAAAAAAACTGACTGACTCTAACCACCACATTCAAAAATAAACAAGTGAAATGAAGGTGTTGTATCCAACTACAACTAAAAAGTAAATTTAAAAAATTTAAAAAAAAAAGAAAAAGCAAAGAGTGGTGATAAAAGACCTCATTTTACAAGTGATAGTTGAATAAAAATGAGATGAGAAGTTGGTGACATAGAAAGAAGCAACAATACATACAAAGGTCTTGAAGTGAGAAAGTGTATAAAGTATTCAAATAATAACAAGGAGAAGAAGTGACAGGAGAAGACTGATCAAGGTGGAGATAATTGAGGAGCATAGAGACATGAAGTCAGGAAAATTTATGATACTTGTTGGCCATAATAAGGGCTTTAGCTTCTATTGTGGTAGAGGGTGCTGCAGAATTTTGAACACAGAAGTAACATGATTTGATCTGTTTTTTTGAGATCACTCTGGAAGATGTGTTGAGAATAGACTAGAATAAGACAAGGTTAGCAGTAGGATAATTAAGAGATAATTGCAATGATTCAGGTGAGACTGTTGAGGACTTGAATTTAGCAATGAAAGCACAGGAATTTGAAGAGATTGCATATACATTTGTAGTTAAATTCTATAAAGTTGGCTAATGGGCTGCATGAAAGACATAGTTGAGAATGAAGTCAAGACTAACTCCAAGGGGCTGGGGATATAGCTTAGTTGGTAGAGTGCTTTCTTTGCATGCACAAGGCCCTGGGTTCAATCCCCAGCACCATAAAAAAAGACTGACTCTAAGTTTTTTTGCTTAAATAATAAGAAGGAAGGAGTTGTCCGTATCTGGCATAAAGAAGACTTAAGGAACAGGTTAAGGAGGCAAAGTGAGTAGCTGTGCTTCATTCCTATTAAGGGCAAAATGTCTCTTAACTATCTGACTGAAGATGCTAGGTAAGAAATTGGATATGAGAATCTGTGGCTTAGAGAAGAGATCCAAGCTGAACAAACAAATTGTCAAATTATTGACTGAGAGAATTGCATACAGCATTAGAAAAAGAGAATATGTCTAAAACCTACTCAAGGATAGCCTTATGTGAGAAGTAGAGGACATGAGAAAGAACTGGCAAAAAATGGCACAAGGCACAGCAAGTGAATGTAAATGTGTTTCCTGGTAGTCAAGTGCTTAAGTGAACACTGTCAAATGCTGCTGATATATTAATAAAAATGAGTGTGTGCATGGGAAACTAACCACCAGATTCAGAAATTTGTAGAATATTCATGACTTGATGGAAATGGTTTTGTAAGATTGGTGGTTGAAAACTCTGACTGTACTGGATTTTAAAGGCCATCAAGAAGAAATAACAGAAATAATTAGTATGTGCACAACATTTTCAAGAATTTGATACATAAAGGGAATGAAAGAAATAAAGCAACATTTTGAGAAAAAAATGGACCAAAATATATATTTTGTAGCTGGAATAAATATCAGCATATTTGTGAAATCAACAGAACACACCAGTAGAAAGGAAAAATGATGATGCAGGAGAGATTTCCTAGAAAAATGACTTTGAATAAGTAATTTATGAGAAATCTTGCACCAGGCATATAAGTCATCCTATGTTAGTCATATGGAAATTATATCCATAATAATAAGGAAGGAGTTTGAAGGTAGGAGGAAAGATGTAGTTGGGTGAGTGAGTGTTACAGAGTGAGCTTGTGTATATTCTTCAGGGAAGGCTTTGTTTTCTCACTGTAACAATTGAATTAGTCCATTTGTTATCTTTATGGTTCATTTTCTAGCCTTTTTGAGGTATAATTGACATGAAAATTTTACATCTTTTGTGTATACATTTTGATGAGTTTGGAAAATATGCTTGTATCTGATTACTATATTTATTCTTGAGTAAAATTTAATTGAGTTTTTATACAGACACCTATGGATTATGATTTACAATTTGTTCAGACAAACTTTTGTTGTTTAACATTCAAGTATTTCCAGTTTGGGTTATAATGAATAAAATGCTATGAATATTCTTATCTGTGTTTTGGAGGGCATAAGTCTTTATTTTTCTTTCCTAATTAATGGGAAGTAAAATTACTTGGGGTAAAATGTGTTCCCCCAACATTCACATGGAAAATTCCTAATACCCACCATCTCAGAATATGGCTGTATTTGGAGATATGGCTTTTTTTCACAGTTATGTATTATTATTTTTTTATTTATTTCTTACATACATGACAATGACTTTTAAAGATATAAATATAGTAAAATGAGGACATATGGGTGGGCTCTAATCCAATGTGACTGGAATCCTTATGGGAATGGGAAGTTGGGGCACATTGTACAAAAGAAAGAACATGTGGAGAAAGAGAAGGTGGTTATCTAAAAGGTAAGACCACAGAAGAAATAAACAGTGTGACACCTTGATGTTAAACTTCTATCCTTCAGACCTGTGAGAAAATAAATTTTGTTGTGTAATCCATCCAGTCTATGATATTTGTTAAAACAGCCCTAGCAAATTAGCTACTCCTGGTCATACTTTTAGCCTATCATTTTATATTCCTCCCAGTAATGTATGTGAGTTTTGGTTGAATATACTCTTTTTAGAACATTGTTTATTCAGTCTTATTTATTTTATCCACTGTAATGGAATGTGGAATAGGTCTCATGGTATTAATTATATTTTCTTGATGTCTAAAGATGCTGGTTATTTGATATGAATTTGGCTTTTATAATTTTTTCTGTGTGAAGTTTCTGCTTAAGTCTATTGCCCATTTCTGGTGGAATTTTTGCCTTTTTATTTTTTATTTGTAAGCACCCTTTTGACATGTTCTATATCATATATATTTCCTATGAATATCATTTCTCAGACTGTACACTATCTTCTTGATGATAATTTGATGAACAGAAAATTTAAGAAGTAATTTATTTATTATTTATCTGATACATTTAGTGATTCCTAGGTACCATCTAATAAATGTTTGACTACCTGATATTAAGGAAAATATTATTTTTTATAAAAATGTTATAAGTTAAAAAACATAACATGTGTACATGACACATATTTATATTTTGAATTTTATTTGTAATGTTTTTGGTAGATGTTTATGTTTGCTTTAATCCATATTTTTATTCATTTGTTTCAGTATAATTTTTGAAAAATATTATTTTTCCAATATATTGCTTTGATGACTTTAGCAAAACCAATTTAGTGTGTGGGGCTTTATTTCTGTAGTATCTATTGGGTTCTATTGATCTATTTATCTATCTTTATGTTAATATACACTATTTTGATTACTATGATTATATATTAAGCTTCAGAATAGGCTCTTCAGCTTTGTCTTTCTTTACAGTATGTTTTTTTAATTTTTAATTTTTAAAAATTTTTCTAACTAGTTATACATGGCAGCAGAATGCATTTCATTTTATTGTACACAATGGAGCACAACTTTTCATTTCTCTGTACATGATTCAGACTCACATCATTTGTGCAATAATACATGTGCCTAGGGTAATGATGTTTGTCTCATTCCACCATCTTTCCTGACCCTCCATGCCCCTCCCCCCATCCCCTTTGCCCAATCCAAACTTCCTCCATTCTTCCCCTGCCCCCTCCCTCTATTATGAAATAGCATCCTCATATCAAAGAAAACATTCAACATTTGGTTTTGGGGGATTGGCTTACTTCACTAAGCATGATATTCTCCATCTCCATCCATTTACCTGCAAATGCCATAATTTTATTCTCTCTTAATGCTGAGTAATATTCCATTGTGTATATATGCCACCGTTTCTGTATCCATTCATTATTGAAAGGCATCTAGGTTGGTTCCCCTGTATGTTTTGATTACTACTGATTCTTCATATTCCATGTAAATTTTAGAGTAATCTTGTTAATGTCTATTTTTGAAATGCATGCTAGGATTTTCACTGAGATTGCATTGAAACTATAAATTATTTTTGTTTTTTCCATATTTTTATTGGTGCATTATAGTTGGACCTGTTGGTGGGATTTGTTACACATTCCTATATACATACAATGTAACAAATTTGGCAAATATCATTTCCCAGTGTTTCCCTTTTCCTCCCTTCCTCCTTCCTCAGGTCCCTTTCCTCTACTCTACTGATCTCCCTTCAAATTTCATGACATTTCTTCCCACCCCTTTCTTTTCCTTTTTTCTCTCTAGCTTCCACATATAAAACATACAACCCTTTATTTTCTGAATTTGGCTTATTTCTCTTAAATAATGTTCTCCAGTTCCATCCATTTTCCTGCAAATGACATAAATATGGAACACTTCATAAATTCATGTGTCATCCTTGTGCAGAGGCCATTCTACTCTTCTCTGTATCATTTCAATTATAGCATGTGTGCTGCCAAATCAAGCACTGAAACTATAAATCAATTTAGAAACACATCTTAACATATTAACTCCTCTATTCCATGAACATGGTATAGCTCTCCACTTTTTCTCAGTTCTTTAAGGTATTTTAACATTTCTCTTACTAGTATTTTTTATTTCTATGTAGTGATCTTAGATAAATTATTAAAATTATCTCCAAATATTTTATTCAGATGTGTTCTTAAATGGTAATATTTTAACTTTCATTTTTCAGTTGTGCAAAATTTTGTATAATAGTTTTGTATTCCATGACTTAACTATATTATCTAATTTGTTGTTAGAATGAAATATTTATTTAAATTCCTTTGGACTTATACACATTTCATTCTTTGAAATATTCATCTTTTTATTTCTTACCCTTGACTTACTGAACAAGCTAAACTGCCAACTCAATGGTAAATATAAACAGTGATATCCAGTTCCCAATCTTAGAGATATAACTTGTTATTTTCAGTATTATACATGTTAGTTTTTGGTTTTGTTTTTTCATAGATACGTTTTATCAGGTTTAGAATGTTTTTGTTCTTAGATTGCTGAAACTTTTTACAATGAATGATTTTTACATTTTGTGAAATGCTTTACTGAAACTGTGGAAATAATCATATGATTTTTTATATCTTTCTAATAACATGATAAATTGCATTGCTTAAATTTTAATGATAAACAAAGTCTACTCCTTGTGACAAATCTTTTTAAATTTTGTATTGAACTATATATTTCAGAATTATTTATACTAATATTTTGCTATACATATTTGGGTTTGTGAGGTAGAATTATTTACAAATTTCTTGTCTCATAATTTTTTCATTGTTTTTGCTATCAGGGATATGGTAGCTTCATAAAATGAGTTAAAGTGTGCTCCCTTCTATGTTTTCTAGAAAAAAAATAGTGTACAATTGTTATTACTACTTCTTAAAATATTTGGTCGATATCTTATTTTTTAAGTTTTTTTCTAAGTTTAAAACTATAATTTTCATTTTAAGCACTGCTTTATTGCATTCTATAAATTTTGATATATTCAGTTTATTTTCACTTTTTTAAAAAAATTCTACATTTACTCATAACTTCCTCTTTTATTCATAGGTTATATAAGAGTGTATTGCTTAGTTGCTAAATATTTGCTCATTTTTTCCAATACCTTTTGTTGTTATTTTCTAATTAAATTCTGTTTGGTTAGAAAATAGACTCTGTATAATTTTGATCCCTTTCAAAAGGTATTTAGACTTCTTTTATGATTCAGGATACAGTCTATCTTGGAGAACATGCCATATATACTTAAGAAGAATAAGTATTCTCTAATTTTTTGTGTATTGTTATGTAAAAAGTCAATTTGGTAAAATTGGATGCTAGTATAATAATCCAAATATTTTGCACTTTTACTAATTATATGTTTTATTGCTCTATAATCTATGAAAGAGAAGTACTAAAAATTACACTATAATTGTGAATTCACCTATATCTCTCTTTAGTTTTGTGCTTATTTCATGTATTGTTTAGCTCTTATTATTAGGCTCTATCTTTCTAGGATTGTTATGCAGATTTTTTCCAGTACTAAGGATTGAAACCAAGGCACTTTACCACTGAGGTACATTTCCAGTTTTTTTATTTATTTATTTTTTTTATTTTGAGATAGAGTCTCACTAAGTTGTTGATCCTGGTCTCCAAACTACAAACCTCCTGCCTCATCCTTCCAAGTAGCTGGGTTTAGAGTTGTGTGCTACCACTCTCAACTTGTTATGTATTCTTGATGAATTCATTGATTATTGTGAAATAAACCTCTCCAAGTCTTATAATGTTCCTTATCCTGAAGTCTACTCTGTCTGGCATTTATGTTTTCTAGCATTCCTATTATTTGCCTGCTTTATCTTTGGCCATCATTTTATTTTTAATTCATTTGTATGTTTATGACTAAGGTTCATGTTTTATAACAGCATATAGTTGAGTCTTGTTTATATTTTCATCTAGTTTTGAACATTTCTGCCTTTAATGAGAAATAATTGATAAGCTTGAATTTCAGTCTACCATCTTGTGACTTATTTTCACTTTGACCAATACATGGTTACTTTTGTGTCTTTCCTAGTCATCTTTGGACTTTTTGAATTTTTTATGTTTCATTTTATTTCCTAGATCCCTTATTAATTAATCAATTTTGTTCTTTTCAATTATTTCTAAATGATTTGTAATATGACTCAGACATAAACCCAATTATTTTGTTTTTTGCCTTCTCTCAGATATATCAATCATTCTCTGCCTGTTATTCAATTCTACTAAGAGTAGTTTCATATATTTATTTCAATTTTACAGGGTTTGTGTGTGTGTGTATATGTGTCTGTGAGGGATATTCTAGTACTAATCATTCTATCTTGGCTAAATGCAGAAATATGTTAGTTTTATTCAGTTTTTAACGCGATTCATTGTTTCATCATCTACCTGAGAAGATATTTATAAATAGTAAATGTTGGCGATACATAGATTAATGAATTACTGTCTCTGGCTTGAAAAAACTTTCAGTCCACTGGAGTTGATACTGATAAAGTAAAAGTAATTTCAATATAAAATGTGATTATTATAGAAATGGAAAACTTAATAGCAAGTAATATGAGATAGAAATAAAAGGAAATGTTTTATTATAAATTTTACTCGGGTCTAAATCAAGTTTTATGGTACTAAAATCATGAATTTCAATCATCGCTGCAAGATTGGAATCCCCTGGGGAGTTCTAAAAAGTGTTGAAGCCTTACCTTTCCTGATTTAATTGGTTTGGAGTGTGATCTGGCTTTGAAATTTGGAAAATCTCCTGTTGATATCTTCTTTGAAGTCAAAAGTCAGTGCTTATCTATGGTAATTTTCATCAGATGGGCCTTAGAAATAAATGTATGGATTTGTAAAAACAATAAATATTGTTCTACCAGTTAAAATTTTTACCAAATCTATGTATTCTGTTGCCAGTGTCTCAAAAGTTTGCATATCTTTTGTCCATATCATAGTTTTACCTGTATTGATGATATGTTATTGCTAGGGTAAGCTTATCAAAATGTTAAAGTTGTAGCACTTAGCACAGTGATTGTAAACAGAAGACACTTAATAAATATGTCTTATTTGAATGGATACATTTCCAATTTATTCAATTAATTCAATATAATACATCTGTTTATACTATAAACAGCATAAATATTCATTCTTATTTATATGTGAGTAATATATGTGTATCAAGTTCAAATGGATAGCTAAGAATATGTTTTGCTATTTTAGAGGAGAGTATGTAATCTAAATTTGGAACTCTCCTAGCATGTGAAATGCAATAATATGAACAATGATGACTATTTTTCCACCTAAAGAGGAACAAATCAATAGACCATAAGAGAGCAAACAGGAATAATATGCAAATTGGTAATGTTAAATATCTTATCTCACTCATCTACTTGGTCACTTACACACTGTGCACTCAGCAGAAAAACTGCCTCTGAACACAGTATTCTTTGGAAAACTGGAAACATTACATCAAATTTGAATCACTGCACAGATTTAGAGAATTTCAGACTATTTAGTTTTGATGCAACAAGTTTCAAACTTCTTCATCTTCCTTGCTATTTTCATGATATAGCTATCCAGAAGCATCAACCTCTTTGCTATCTTGATATTAATTATTTACATGGATAGTAATTGTTTATTGATACTACTTACTTACTGACATTTGGTGTCTTGAAATGGAAATTTTTAACTATAGTCTTCCAATAATTCCTAAGTATCCACATTTTTTTCTACAGCAAATACTGACTCTCAACATGCGTTATGTATAGACTACTGAGCTATTCAGTATGTCAATGGTAATCTTTCCAGTCTTGAGCCTCTTAGACACTTGAGTGCAGCAATGACTGGAGAAAATCTGTGAGATTTTCTGGTTCTATAATTCTCTTCAGGCCTAAAATCACTCCTTCAAGAATACTTGTGAAAGGAAATAATGAGCAAAACACCAATTAATTCTATCTTTTTCCTCTACCAATATCTATTTTCTGATAAATGCTTAAGCAATTTAAACTGAAAAAAAGAAAAAAGATTTTTGTTGAGTTTTATACTTAAAGCACTTAGCAGGCTTTTATTCATTTTTAGGATGAAGTATAATAAGACTGAAATGGCTTAATTTTTATACCACTGTGTCTGAATCCAGTGTTCATGCTTAATACATACTCCTTGAAATACTTCATGAATTAGATTGAGGACAATTTAAAACTAATAAATTGTCTATTTCATATTTAGAGAGAGAGACTTTCACAAGGAGTAATTCAGTACCATTCAAACAATTGAAACAAAGTATTTTTATAGTATTTGAAATTAAAACTAGTTTGTTTATGATAGAAAAGAGAAAATATTGGACTGGAATAAAGATTGGTTATTTCACATGAATTCTATGGTAAAATAATATTAAGATGACGGCAGGGCACAGTGGTGCATGCCTGTAATCCCGGAGGCTGAGGCAGGTGGATCATGAGTTCAAAGCCAGCCTCAGCAACTTGGCAAGGAGGCACTTAGCAACTCAGTGAGACCTTGTCTTTAAATAAAACATTTAAAAAAGGGCTGGGGATGTGGCTCAGTAGTTAAACACCCCTGGGTTCAATCCCCAGTAAAAAATAAAATAACACTAAGATGACCCTAGCAGAAAATTCACTGGCAGTAGTCAGTTTCAGCAGAGATAGATAGATAGATAGATAGATAGATAGATAGATAGATAGATCGATCAATTTAGATAGATATAATCATATATATATAAAATTAAATTTTACCTTAAAGTTTGTCTTATCCTCCCCAATTAGAATATAAGATGACAGTAATCGGGTTTCATAGGAAAAACAAACAAACATTATTTTGCCCCAAGAATTATCTTGTTCCTTAAAGTACACTCTAAACTTCATGAGGACAAAGACTACATTTACTTTATTTGTATATCTTTATCCTGGAAGAATGGAATAACTGAACTTGTTGGAATTTA